CTACCGGATCGGCTCGTGGCTGCTGGACAGTGAGGCCCTGCACCCGCTCGGCGTGGCCGTCCCGTCCAGCTGAAGGCCGGGGCGCGGGGGGCGGGCGGAGGGGGCGGCAGCGAGCCGCCGCGAGAGACGCACGGAAAAGCGCACGGAACGAGACGCGAATGATGATAATAATTAATAATAATAATAAAGTAGGACAGCCCAAAGTAGACTATAAGGAAACAAAGTCCCTGGGAAGTTTTGTCGTCGTGTTTAGCATATATATATATATATATATATATATATATATAATTTTTTTTGGAATTTTTTTGGTTGTTTTATTTTGGTTGTTTTTTTTGTTTTTCCACCTCTCCTGGCTATTTATTTGTTTGGTATGAATAGATGTTTTAAATAATATGAACCGGACCTTCACGAGCCTTAAATAGTTTGTTTCTTGGATAATTTATTATTGTCATGTGAACTGTACTCTCACAGGGGGGAGAGATTATTTTGTGAGGCCAAGCGACCTGCTCAGAGTCTATTTTTCTACATGTCCCTGGTCCTGACTTTCAGAAAGCAAAACTCTGTCCTCTGTCCCTCTTTCGCCAGCTCCTGCTTCTCAGCAAGTGTAAGCGAAAACATGCTTCATGGGGGTCCACAAATTATATTTTTATACACAGAATTGTAAATTAGATTTTTTGAGAGATCAATACTTAACTGAATTACATTTCATTTTTGAAATAGTGTAAAATATGAAGATATATTATTTTTAATTTAACTAGTTTCCAATGTAACAGCCACCTCCTCTCTCTATCTTCATGGTTTACTATTTGCTTTGTCATCACCATTTTGGCCACATTCTTGGAAGTCAAGACTGTTACACACACACACACACACTCACACACACACACACACACACATACACACACACATTTTTTTCTTCCTTTTTCTTTCTCTTTTTTTTTTTGGACAAACTGGAAGAACTCTGTTATTTTTAACTTCAAAGAATTTATTAGAAAATAATATTTTTTAAAAGCGCACATAGTGATGAGCCCACATGGATGGAGCCTGTAGTTTGTACAGAGATAAACAAAGGATGTTTTTGCATTAATAAATTGAGAAATAACTGCTGTAAATTTACTAAACTGTATTTTTGAATATTTTGTAATAGTTTTATAGAAATAAAATGTGCCACGCACAGACTGGTTAGTATATAATAACTAAGAATTCCTGTCGCAGCCCTTTTTCTTTCCTTTTTTGGCTTCTTTGTTCGGGGAACCTAGTGCTGACAGGAGTCCCCAGTGTTGTTTAGATATGTTGCTTATACTGTGAATTCAGACCAATCCCGTAGGTAACCACATCTGCGTGTTTATTTTCACCAGTGGAGAAGTCTCAACTCTGCCTACACTCCGAAGGTTGGGGGTGCTGTGCTGGCTTCTGTCCTTCTCCCACCCCCACCCCTTAACTAGCACAGCCTCACTCATACTAGGCCTGGAGGAGGTGGCCCTGGGGCAGTCACCCAGAGCTTTCTCTCACTCCATGGAATTGTTGGTGACTTTGTTCCCCGGGCTCGGCAGCCCCAGGTTGCAGTGCTGAGCCCCCTGGCCTTGTGGGGAGGAGGTCCCTAGCTGCTTTCTGAAGTCCTGGGGGCTCTTTAAGAAGGGTCCCCAAGGAGAGGACATGGTGTTGGTGCTCTCTGAACCACGCCCCACCACGGAATCCGTGGGAGACCCACTGTGGAGCACGTGGACTGAGCTGCCCCTCAGTGGGCTCCTGACCTTCCCTCCTCTCTGATCACAGCCACCAGGGTCTCAGGGTGTCAGGGTCTTTGGGCCACGCTGGTGTCCCCAAATCCTAGTTGTCTGTCTGCAGTGATGGTTAGGTGTGGACTTTTGTCCCTGAGGCACGGTTCCTTCAGTGGGTGCCTTGTGGTCAGTGCCCTGAGTCCTTGGGATCTGGGGGAGGAGGTCCTTCAGGCTTGATGCTGCGTTGTATACTCGGCTGAGGGGCTCTGCCCTCGGCCATCACTTTGAGAGCTTTGGTGTTTTGGAAGGCTACTGTCATGCTTTGTGCTTTGAGCCCAAGTGTGTAACCAGGCTGGGCTGTGCCTGCATGCCTGGGAGGGCTGGGGCCGCTGAGCAGATCAAGCCTGTCTGGAGGCTGGTCCGATTTAGGGGAGCAGAACTGAACCTGACAGCCCAGTCCCACCTGGGCAGGTGTGGAGAAGCTGCTCCCGAGACCAGGCCTGTGGTCTCTGGGGGCGTCTGCGATAAGGGGTTCAGCATGGTGTGGCCTAGGTCCCAGGCTCGGTGCTGGGGCGGGAGGCAGGGCCTGCACACTGGAGCTAGCCCTCTGCAAGCTTCCACTGCCAGGCCCTCCGGGCAGAAGCTGCGCTTGGTTTTTTTCTCTGGAAAAGATTTTTTTCAGTCATGTAGGTGGTTTGCAGTTTCAAGGTTTACAAACCCTCGTGGCATTTGGTAGTTTCTGTTCTGTTGACTGTTTATGTCTGTGTGTAAGGTTGGTCAAAGGTAAGCCGGAAGCAATTCTGGCTGCGTTGACCCACCTGACTAGCCATGCAGCCCTGCTGGTCTGGCGCTGCAGGCCCCAAAGGCCCCCGTGCCAGTGGCAGAGTCCTGGCCACCAGCTGTGGGGCGGCGGGCCCCGGGCAGCGCCCCCTCCTGGCGGGGCGCGGTGGCAGTGCGATGCTGTTTCCTTACCCAGTCCCTGTCCCACGTTTCAAGATTCTTGTAGCTTTACGTTAAGAACTCTCCTTTTCACGGGCAACAACAGGAAGCCACCTTGTAGAGACACCATGCATAGGGCATCAAGAAGGTGCAGCCGCACCCCCCGGCGGAGGCACCCCCGTCTCCGTCTTCAGGGCCGACGGGCCGAGCGTTAGTGCCGCGTCCGCGTGGCGTGGCTGCCAGCCTCCCTTGTGACTGAACGCGCATCTCCTCCTGTCAAAAACGTGTATCAGAATGTACTTGAAACTGTTATCTTTGTGCTCTGTTGTTGAACAATTAAAGACGTTACAGAGACCCTCGGCGATGTCTGTTCTGTGGCAGAATTCCGGTCCCATCCCGTCGTCCGCGAGTCTGTGCCGCAAGTGTGAAGGACAAGGTGCCTTCGGTGGGGGGTGCGGTCAGGCCGTGGGAATTTTCACCCGAGCAACGGAGCACATGACTCGCCCCTGTGACCAGCTGGCGCCCGCAGCCCCGGGGGAGAAAGCACCCTTGTCCTCTCCTGGTTGAGCTCCCCTTGCTGTCGGCATCACACCCACATGGGAAATGTTGGGGGGACACGCAAAGAACGCTTGTGGGCTGCAACATTCGGCAGGAGAGCACCCAAGTGCCTGCTGGTGCGCCCACGTCCTGGGCTCTGTAATGACGCAGAAAGGCGGTCGGTCCATCCTTGGAAAGACTGACCCACTGGGGGGGGGGGCGTGAGAGGCCCAGGGAAGTGACTTTCGTATGACTTCTTCTGAGCAAATCACAAAACGCTTCATGAGCCCCGATTTTCCCCAGGCCGCCTGCTGGAGGCCCGGAACCCGGCCCGGGACAAAGCCAGCCTACTACCTCATTTCATACGTGTTTAAGTGTTGGGGGAATCTATGGAAGAGTAATATTTCACGACATGTGAGAATTAGATGAAATTCAGTGTCCATCAGAAAGGTTATGTTGGAAGCCCGCCCGCTCCGCCTTCACGCGCTGCCCACGGGCGCCTCCGCGATCCCACGCACGGCAGGGCTGAGCGTGTGCGTCAGAGACACCCCATCCCGAAAACCACCTGGGTCTTTGCAGAAAAAAAAGCCACCAGCCCCGCTGTAGCTCTCATCCGGAAAGCAAGCCGGGCTGTGGCGTGGAGGGCAGCTGGGTCCAGGGCAGCGGTGTGGACACCGCCACAGAGAATGCAAAGGATTCCCCCACTCGATCGATGGCACCGGCACTGGGAGCCAGACGGGCCGGGAGAGGGTAACAGGCCCAGGAAGAGCCCCAGGCCGTGTGACCGGCAAACCTTGACGCTGACCAAGTGTCAGCGGGGCTGGAAAGAATCACCTGTAAGCATGGGTTGAGCTGGGACCAAACAGCCGTTCGAGGAAGCCAGCCACACGACCTTCATGCCCCCAACTCCAGGAAAGTCGCCTCTGTGTGGAGGTAACCGTCTTTCTCTTTTGGGCTGAGCTTGATTGTTTTCCTCAAATTAAAAAGAAAATCTTAAAATTCACGTTTTGCCATAGAGGCGAGGTCTGGGTCCGACAACAAGGAGACAGGGAAACTGCCAGGCAAGGCTGCATTCTCAGGGGCGCCTTTGGTTTTCAGGGTGAGGGCAGCTATGGTCCCAGGTGGGAGAAACTGGTTTAAATAAGAAGGTACCGAAAGCTGAAAAATGATAAGTTAGAAGCGATAGGATGCCCAAAACCCAAGGGAGAGCCGGTTCCCGGTGGAATCCTGTGGGTCCCAGGAGACCGAGGCCCATTCTGCTGGACACCAGCCCTCATGCTGGTCGGGGACTTGGGTCTGCCAGGCCCCAGGGGAGCTGTCGCATCCATTTCAGAGCAACTTACAGGCAGCAGAACAAGCCCTGCCCGGGACCCTGAGTCTGCCACCCTGCTGGCCCATGCCATCTGAACCCCAGCCAGATGGTGCCTGCCCCCTCGCTCAGCACTGGCCCACCCAACAGGCCCAGCAAAGCAGACGCCTGGCAGAGGAGCGGGGACAGGAGGGGCTGTGGGAACCCCATGCTCGCTGTGTCAGAAAGAGCCTGGACGGTCAGCGTCAGCACGGAGGGCCAAGCCCTGGTGGGACCCGCCCCGCTGACCTCGTGGTTTATTGTCGTTGCTGTGATGGTGGCCATTCCTATTACTTGGTGATCTTTGTGGATGGCACATTCATCTCTCCCAAGTCTGGGGCTCTGAAGGGCTGAGTGCGCCTTGGCAGGGCTCCCTGTTCCTGTGTCCCAAAGGCCCATGTATAGGGCCGCTCTCCCCTTGCATAGAGCTTCCATTCTGTGCGCGGTCCACCGGCCCAGTTCCGGGTTCCACTGAGAACGCCGGCTCCTTCTCTGCCTGCCAGGCCCTCCCCAGGTGCACATGGCCAGGGGTAGGGAGAGCTGGCCAGAGGCTGCCGTACCAAGAGGGATGCCACCGCCCCTTGGGCAGGCCAGTACATGGGTCCCCGGAGTTCTCCCGGGAGCCCAGCCCAGGCGACCTCCTGTCCCCTGAGGGCCTCCTGTCCCCTGGCATTGTCCCTGGCAGCGTAAGCGCCAGGCTTGAAAGGCGGCAGGGAGCGGAGGGGCGGGCTTGGGGAGGTGCGGGGTGCTGGATCGGGGACCTGCCTCAGTTCCGCCCCTTCGTTCCCCCTGCACCCGCGTTCCCAGCGGTTCAGCATCACCCGAGGCCCCTGAGTGGAGTCCGAGCGCCCTCTGGTGGTCGCGGCGGGATAGAGCAGGCGCGCCACCGCCCGGACTTCGGCCTGCGCGGGGGTGGGGGGGTGGGGGGGCTGGCCCAGGCAAACCTCGTAAGCGAGGGCGAGGGACAACAGGCTCAGCCCCCCAGACAGCAGCGTTGAGGGGACCTGCTGGGTACAGTTAGAGCGGGCAGCGCCGCGCCGCCCTGAAGCCCCTCCCGCTGGTGGCCCCAGGGGAAGCCCCCCATCGCAGCTGCCACCACCCCCACCCGCGCCCCCACGCGCGCGCCAGGCCTGGCTCCGTGCTCTAGGGAGTGGTGACCTTATTCTTATCTGCCAGGATGAAAAGCAGGGGAGAAGAGGACCGTGGTGGGAAAACTGAACCCTAGAGATGGGGGACTAGGAGGATCGTGTTCATGCCCTGTTGGAATGCGGGGTGACTTCCCATCCCCGTCCTGCCCCTTCTCTGAGGCCGCGGGTCCCAGGGCTGGGAGGCCCTGCGGAGGGAGCCCCTCTGGCACCGTGTACAGAGCTGAGGGGGCTCGCGGCGGCGTGCGGAAGGAGCGGTCGGTGGACTGTGCACCCCGACTTCGCTGCGTGGCCGGGACTTCCCACGCCTTAGGGTGAGCAGATGACCTGGGGGAGCGTTTGTAGAAAGGACAGGGCCACACACGTGGACAGACGTCGTGGTGGCCTCTGTGGCCACACACCTCTTCTTTAGGGACACACACACACACACACACACACACCCATGAGGCCACAGTGGCCCCTACTAACCAGCCCTCCATTCCCTCACAGGGAGGAGAGGCAGGGAACCCAAAGGTCCCTTTAAGCTCAGGAATACTGCTGCTGGAAGGCGGGACCGCTCCTGCACCTGTCCTCAGGCCTCACCTGGGTCAGGCGAGACCCTGGAGAAATGGGCCCACACAGAGCAGACAAGCTTAGTCTTTGCAAGTGGAGGAGGTGACGGCACTCTCAGTCATCCCTGGTGTCACACATCAGCTGTCTCCTGAGTGTCCGTAGCCCAGGCCTGAGCAGCCCAGACGAGGCCGGGCTGCCCCGAACGCACCTTTTCAATGGAAAGAGAACGCAGTGGCCGGTCCTGCCAGCTGTCCTCTCCAGCTACCCGCACGGCCCAGGGGCCCTGTAAGAAAAGTGTCCTCTCCGTACACCCCACGGCTGGTCGGAGCGTGAGTGGGGATGGAGGGAAGAGCCTGGGTCACTCTCTGTCCCTGGCCACTTTTGGCCAGAAGACTTTCCTGGCGGCTGCTGCTCATGAGAGCCTGGAAGGCCACCTAGATGCCAACCTGAGGCCACAGCAGGTCGCAGTGAAGCCACTGGAGTTGGGTGTCAGGAAAAGCCTTCCTCTTGGGTCTTTCTGTTTTCTAAGGAAGAAGTTCCAGGAAAAGAAATCTAATAGATGGATGCTCATCAAATGTCCAGAATACGTCCCACGCTGGAGTTCGCTCTGTCTTACAACCGACCCGCCGTGAGAAGCACTTCTCTACCCACATACATCCATGGTACTGACGCCCAAGTTTCGTAAAAACTCTTTGCCCTTACTACCTGCAGTAGACCCTGAGGTGTTTCATTCTTTTTGTTCAGATCAGTGACAAATTGACTTCCTGACCTGCCCGTGAGATGTGGGGAGTCTTAAAGTGCGGGCTCTGCACCACCGGCCAGGGCTGGATCAGAGGGAGAGAAGGGGGTAGGGAGGGCACCTCCTCCTGGCAGCACCCAGCATCGCGCACGCTCCTCGAGGGGCAGCGGAGGCAGAGGGACAGGGCCCACTGTGGCCTAGCCCTCCCTCTCACACCAGGTAAAGATCCCAGGTGAGGCGTGCGTCCTGGGGTGCGGGCACAGGCCGCCTCACAGACCCTTCACTTCCCACTTGTGGCCCCAGCTCTCCGCCCTTCCCAGAGCTGGGACCGTCCTTTCTCCACAAGGGCTGTGAGTGACCGAGAAGCAGGAAGGAACGGAGGTGGGGAAGGGAGCTGAGAGTACCCAGTAATGGGGGTGAGAACAAAAAGGGGAGACTGAGTCATGCCCAGAGTTCCCGATGTGGGTGTGAGAGCTGCCCAGACCTGGCCCCAGCAAAGGCAGCACCTGCACCGTCCGAAGGTGAGCCGCACCGCAGGGCATGAAGAGACAAAGAATGAAAGCTCCAGGTGTCCAGAGCGGCGGCAGAGGCGGCTGTGCAGTCCCCACGGGGGCTCGGCCATGACAGACAGGCGAAGCTGGGGTTTCAGGGTCTTCGTAGATATATGTAGACTTGCTCTGTTTTCTGTGTTCCCAGTTCAACGCAGGGAGCACACTTGATTGCTCCGAAGAATGAACTTATTTTTAAATCTGCAGAGCTGAGATCCTGCCCGCCACATCAGGCCCGCCCTCCTCCCACAGGGGCTGTCGGGGCCGCCCCACACCTGCACTGAGGGGGCAGGACAGGCACCGGTGGGGACCAGGGGCCGACAGATGCCACTCACGACCAGCCCCAGTGCCATTACGTCTCTTCCCAGCTCTGTAATTTAACTGAAAACCACCCGGCGCCGCCCGTGGGCCCCAGACACCTGCGCTCATGTGTGCCATCCCCGACGGCAGCGGCCACACCTGCCTCCCCAGCTGGGGCGCGGAGCTATTTCTAGGCAGAGCTCCGTGTCAGTCCTAACGACTAGATGTTCAGTCAAAAACGAGGTTTTTTAGGTCAGGGAAATGAGTCTAAAAATACTTCCTCCGGCCTTTGAGTGTCAGGCGAAGGGAGCAGGCTTTGCTGTCTTAAGCATCCCCAGCGGCTGCTCCAGGTGGACTGTCACCAGGCAGGCCTGGTGACCTGGCCGCATGCCCCTGGTGGCACACCTGGTCACACCGTGGCCCCCTGGCCGGCTCTCTCAGAGGCCTGTTTTTAGGGGTCTGGGGAGGCTTCCCAGCTGACCTCCCCTCCCCTCCTGTGGCCTTGGGTCCCCATGTTCACTGCAGCCCCCGAGGGGCAGCCAGGGCCCACAGCGGATTGGGGGACAGGGCTGGGCTCCCCCTTCCTGCATCACAGAAGGCGGGAAGTGTGTGGTCACCACACACATCTGGATCAAGTGTGTGAGGGTGAATGTGTGTGCACGTGCTTGCATTTATGCATTTGTAGAAAAAAGCTGAGCAAGAGACACCCAGACGACATGACTGTGCCTCTCTGGGTGGTGACCTTCCAGGCGACCTCATTCTCTTCTTTCTGCTCATCTGTATTTTCCACATTTGTCTCAATGACAATGTAATAGGTTGCTATCAAAATTAAGTATTTTAATTTGAAAATATCTAAGAAGTTTTTTGCGCTGTTTCGTTTGCCCTCTAAATTCATCCAAGTGGCCCTGTGTCTGTCCCCAGTGAGTTCTAGAGATGTGGGGGGGCCTCTGCTTCCACGACCGCTTCTAGAGCCCACAGCACACGATTGTGCAGAAAACGTCTGGAATGGCAGAAAGTCTCCATCCTGCGAGGAGACGTTAGCACTTCTCAACAGTCAGGGGGGCTCAGGGCGGGCCTTGTGGAGTCCGGGGTGAAAACAGATGGCAGGGTGGCCACAAGGTGACAAGAATCGTCTTTCCAGGCTCAAAGCCAGTGCCCAAAAGGCGTCCCCCAACTATGCTCCGTGGTGGGGAAGTGTCCTCTTCCCTTGTTGTGACTCCAACATGAGCTGGGGTGACCTGGAGAGCGGGGCTCTGCTCTCAGCTCTGCATGGGACCGGCGACGTCCTGCACCTGCCACGACAGGCTCAGGGTCCCCGCGTGTGAAAGAGGGGCTGGACTCACACTCCCCAGACCAAGGTCCCGTCCAGCTCTGACGCCGACTTGTGTCGGTTGCTCTGTCCTCAGTGCCTGTCACTGCAGGAACGCCACCTGGCAGGCACCCCGTAAACACTGAACTGGTGAAGCGACGAGTGAATGAACCAGAGTGGGCATTCCAGGCAGTGACACTTTGCTGCCCTCTCGGCGTCCTGTCCCCAGAAAAGCGTGCTGTTTAGGGCGCCACCTGCTGGCAAACTCTGAAACCTGCAGTCAGCGCAGCCCCCCCCCCCCTTGGGTCCTTTCCCAGGAATCAGCACGGAGAGGCGGGGATACGCCGTCATCGTGGAAGTGAAGGACCCCGCAGCACTCAGCCTCCAGAGGGGCGGCTCCCGGACTCATCTTGGGGAACAGACGGAGCGGCCACAGAGCTACTGAGGGACCCCTGACCCAGACGATCTGGGCAAAGGGGCGCACAGGAACCTTGCCCCAAAGCAGAGGGTCCCCCACCTGGATGAAGACAGAAGGAGTCAGCACCTGGGGATGTCAGATGGGGAGCGGATTGCGGACGTGACAGCGGTTTCCTGGGGTCCTCAGTTAGCTATTTATTTTCAGCAAGATGGGGGGGGCGCCTCAAACGTGGGACTCGCTGTGACTTGCTCCTGCACCTTCCTGACTCCTCATGGCAACAACCTCAAGTCAGCGACGCCGCTCCAGGCCTTTGTGACCTGTGGCGTGCCCCCCACGCCGTCCTTGAGAGCGGCAGCGGGAGGGAGTTCAGGGGACACACGTCCACACGAATCTCCGAACTTGCTGGGTACTGGCTGCTTCAAAACGGGGGTGGAAATGACATTTATTAAGATAATGACAAAAGGAACAGTGGAGAGACGTGAGGAGGGTGTGACCCATGGGGCAGGCAGGGTCCTGGGGGGGGACAGTAACTGAGGTGGGGGTGACCCTGGTAGATGGGAACCACGGGGGCAGGGGTGGAGTTTCACCCCCAGTCCTCCCAGGGACCTGGGGTCTCAGGCAAGCAGCGTGAGGAGGAAGGCGCCCTTCCCTCCGGTGGCCCCAGGAGCTGCGGCGGGGCGACACCAGCTGCACCCCCAGACCCCTGGGGCTGTGGGCTGGGCAAGGGCAGGGGGTGCCGGAGACACTCAAGGTGCAGGGACTTCGTGGGTGGGGTCGGGCATGGGGTGCTGGAACCTGTCACACCCACCCGCCTCAGTGCCAGGGGGGGTCTTTCACCCGAATCTCTGCTCTCGCCCCACCTGGTCTCAGTCCCGGGGTACCTGCGAGGTGCCCCCTGCCCTGCCCTCGCTCCATACCCCGCCCCTGTGGGACTCCTGGAGGGTCTTGTTCGCCGTCCTGTCCCATCACCGCCAGACACACGTGGACACACGCTCAGTGCTTGGGCAGTACCTGCCGCCTTGCCGGCGTCTGGAATCCGAGTCCCTTTCAGGCTCCCAGAGGTCGTGTGCCGTCCAGGCTGCTCTGGCTGGCCGGTCGCTCGGAGCCCGGTTCTACCCCTCTGTAAACCACAAGCACTGGGCTCTGTGCCCTGGGACACACACGCACGTGGGCACAGCCCTGCTCCGTGGGGCACGCTGGGCGGCACTCTTCCAGCTTCCCTGCAGACCTGACTGTAAATGATCTTCAAATGCGGAAACACACTTTTGAGTAAAAGCATGTTGGCTGACACAGGCAAAACGTGCCATGAGGACCGCTGGTGACTCTGCCGCAGCTTTTCAACAGAAGTGATGGGGGAGCCCCGCCCACACAGAAGTCCTCCACGCCCTCCAGTCTGTGAGGCTGCCTGCCTGTCGCAAACACACCGTCACCTACAAACGTGTGAGACGAGAAGCCACCTTCCAAGGAACTCCCAAATTTGGAAACCCATTTCTGCCCGACAGCTCGGTGTCGAGTCCATCACACAAAGCAAAGGCTGGGTTTTAGACAAAGGACTTATCCGTGGAGGATGGACCAAAGCAGAAGAAAAATGGCTTTAATCGCGAGGCATTTTCAGATTCTGATTTAGGTTTAAAAATTCCATTAAATCAGACCTGATAAATTAATCACTCCTTTTCACTGTGTTTTCTGCCAAGTCAGCCTCTTCCCCCCCTTCTTCCTCACTTGGAACCAAAGGCAGGGCCTTCTCCTTCTCACCCTTACCAGCGGGGGAGACTGATGTACGTGGGGTATCTTCCAAGGCCGCACTTGTCGGTGAAGCAGGGGGTGTTTGGAGTGGAGCCAGGTTCCTGTACAGACACCGCCACGCCCCACCCCCGGCAGCCGCCCTGCTGTGGAGGGGCTGGGTCCTTCCATTCCCTAGTTGGGACATGTCCATCCCAAGGTGAAACGCACTGAGTGGCCGAGGCCTCAAGTCCTGTAACAGGTGGCCCGGGCTGGAGGCTGGCGGTCGGCTGAGAGCAGCAGCCGTTAAGACACTCGCCCCTCGGGAGCAGCACAGACAGGTCCTCCCTCCCGTGAAGGACATGGGGGCCTCAGCGAGCCTCGGGCCGCCCACCCAGTTCCAGGAACAGAGGGGGATAAACGTGCTCGCTGGGCCGGCCTGGCAGTCATGCCCCCAGGATCTCTCTGCTTGCTCTTCACAATTAAGCTGCCGTTTTACACACAAGAAAGGTGGGTTTCAAGAGGTGAAGAGTGTGTGGGGCCTGTGAAAGCCACCCACCTACATCACCATGTGAACAGGACCCAGGCCAGGGGAGCTGGCCTGTCTCCCCCACACGGGGGGTGCTCGCAGGTGGGTACCTGGTCTTGTGAATGTTTTCCTTTAACATTGGTTCCTGGAGTGCTTTATTTTTATTTATCTATAATAAGGTATTAAAAAACACCTCATTTTCAAACTAGGTTTTGAATTATGAGAGATTTGTAGCAACATGAAAAGCACTGATGATCCTTTAAATGGCAAATGCACACACGACAGCCACTGCACTGGCGCCACGTGTACAGGCGAAAACGGACGGAGGGAATGACGGTGGGGGCATCGCAGGCGGCTGACTTCCTCCAATTCCAGTGTTAGGATTACAGTGTTAGAATACAAATTTCCTTTGAAAAGTAAAAATTATTTGTAATGCTTTAGAAAACTGAAAATGAGACTCTAACTCTCCCCACTTCCAATGAAACAAAACGTACTCGATGCGTTGTCGCTTCAGACCCGTGCAGACTGTGCAGTGTGGGTGAGGCCAGCGGCCGCCTTGACCTTCACGGGGGCATCGGTCAGACACCTGTTTCAAGGCCAAGGGCTGCAGGGAGCACACACGTCGGGGCGAACACCACCCCAGGCCAGCCGTCTCTGGGGGACAGGGGCAGTGCCCTGTCCACATGTGTAAGGTGAGGGCTGGGCCAAACCCAAGGGGTGAGATAGAAGCTACCGAACAAAAGCGGGAATTGCAAGATACTTTATTAATACATCTTTCAAATTACAATACAGTTCAAACACATTTTTCAGTATGGAATCACACAAATGATACACACAATACATTTTTTCCAGCTACGTCACTCCTGTTCTTCACATCTATTCCTGATAAGGTCGTTACAGCGACTAGTGCAGCGTGAACAGTGGGGTACGACAGGCCACATCACACCCCGCAAGTGTGCGTGCGGAGCGACCGCCAGGAAACGCGGAGGTCAGCCCAGAGGCGCGCAACCCCACTCTCGGCTTGGGACGCGCAGCGCACCCCCACCCCCAGCCGCGCACACCCGCCGTGCAGCACACGCATTACGGTTAGGAAGGCCACGGTCAGCCAGGGCAGTGACAGTCGGACAGGCCGCGTTCCGGGCGGCTAGGCGCTAGTACTAACACTGAGCTCACGCTTTTAAAAGAGGTCCTGTGAAGTAGAGGGCAAAGACAAAGGGGTGAGGAGTGGCACGGCCGGCCGCACGCCTCTGGGCGCCACGCACGCCCACAGTCCAGCTGCAAAATAACAGAATGCCAGCGTTATTCTCTCCAACCAAAGCCCTGGAGGAAGGAGTCCTGAGTAGAAACCTGTCGAAGCAAAGGTTCAGAGGTGACCACACACCCAGGACACCAACTCATAGCACGCTCGCACCCCAGAGTGGAATTCTACGTATGAACAGTGGAGAGGAGCGGGAATGTCCCAGCAGTGAGCAGGAGGGCAAGGCAGCGCACAGACATCCAGGGGTGCAGCGGGAAGAGGGCAGAGCCAGGCAGGAAAGGAAGTCCAAGACAAAAGGGGGGCGGGGGGGGGGCAGCGCAGCAGCAGCAGCAGAGAAGGCAGCGCCCCCACAGAGAACCAGCTCAGCAATGAAAAAAACACCGGGTTGGGGCTCTGCTGTGGCGGAACCTGAAAATTAAACAGCGGAATTAAAGCTTGAGCATTAAAATCCTCACAGAGGAGAAGCCACCTGGATCCCACGCCTGTGAAAAGCAAAGCGGAATATAAAACTGAAGGGTTATTTGCTCTTCGGTCGACAGCGCAAATGTCGGGGGAGGAGAGGGGGGTGCGTGTGCATGTGTGTATGTGTGTGTGCGTGTGCGTGTAAAAACCTGAATTATATATTCTACGACAACACTGCAGAGCACACGAAACCCAAACAGCCCCTAACCGTCAGCTTCCGTGATGCGTGCCCCTGAACTGGAAAGCATTTAAACGACAGCCACGTTGGAAGAGCGGCAGGAGGACTACTTCCTCGAGTCTATCAAACTGCTGCACACAATGTACGGAGATGACGCTTCTGTCCACTCTGCGGGACAGACTCAAGTTTAAAAACTACGTGATGCTTCTTTCTAAAGGGCTGTATTCTTCTACATACCTTTTAAAATTAGTAAAATAAAGCAAAGCAAAACACCAACATGAAGACTTTTTACATTTTAGTTGGTTAGAAGAAAGGGGAAAAAGCGACTTCTCACTAAAGAGCCTGTTTTGGCTCTCATCTTGATGACACCAAAACAGGGCACAGGAGAGGGTAGGAGGTGTAGCCGTGTCCGGAAAGGGAGGTTACACGGTGTGACACCAAGGACCCTTGCCACCACCTGTTACCAGCAGGTATACCTGGGATCCAATATGAATCAGTGGGTTCCGCTTTGGTTCTAGTACATAAAACCATGGGCACTTTAAGTGGTGAAAATTAAATAGGTTGCAAAAAAACCTTACACAAAATCCTTAGGATTTAATAATAAATCAAGGCTACACGCCTTTGAAGTTCTTATTTAAGAAGGTCCGAAAGAACACTTCATTCACAAGTTTTAAAAATAGTTGAAAAGGTTCCCTGAAATGCTCATCAAATACAAAACGTCTCAGCTTTCCCCTAACTGACAATCTAAGCTCCCGGGGGGCTCCTTCCTGGGGCGCCTCCAGTCCCATTTCATACCCTCCACCCCCTCGTGGTTAGTGAATTCTCCTTTAGAATGCCACTTAAAATCTGTAAAGAACCAACAATACCTTTCAAGTATTTTCTCCCCCCTCCAAACAAACAAACAAACAAATGAACAAACAAAGGGGAGGGGCTCTACCTGCTAGAAGGAGTGAAGATGGAGTCCCACAAGCAGGGAGGGAGGAAAATTAAAAATGACCCTGGGAAGAACACAGTGACACGAGGGAGCCCATCGCCTACGACGTGAGCACACTGCCTCTCCAGGGGACAGGGGCGGCGAGGTGGCTCAGGGCACCAGTGCACACAGACCTCTCTCACACCTAACTGTCCTCAACAGGGTCCCTGTCAGCCCAGTGGTCCACGAGCAAGGGGAGCTTACCTTCAATCAAACAACAGAAATAAGGAACAAAATAAAGAGAACAGAACAAAAAAACTGAAAGCCAAAACAAAAAGAAAAGAAGTGATAGCCTCTCAAAACCAGCTCTAAGAGCAAGGCCTAGCCTCAGGTCTCATCTGTAAGGCAGCCAGGCCCCGCTGCCGGCCACGGAGAACAAGGTGGCTCCCTGACAGGCAGGCGCCCTCCCACCCTCCAGCCGGCACGGCCAGCAGACACCTGCTGAGACCCCCGTGTCCCGCCAGCCGCATGCCTCTCCGCCGGACTGCCGACCCCCGGGGTCAGTGTGTTAGAACAGTTATTATGAACACCTGTTACAGGTCCTTCGCTCTGCAAGCCCCTCACCCCATTTCTACCGCTCCTCCTGCCCCTCCCCCTACACCCGGCCTCCTCCCAGCAACCAAGTCTCTATTTGCAGAATGAAGCAAATGAAGCAAAATGCTGTTTGAAAAGAGTCCTGGGAGCAGGATCTAAGCTCTGCCACAATTCAGACGCTACAGAACCAGGGGTGAACAAGCGTTTCCCCAGGACCTTTACAAGTCAAGGTGAGGACGACCCAAGACAAACGTGGTTACGAGGGAGTCGCCCCCCTTCCAGGCAGGGTGAGGCCACAAGCACCCACTGAGGGTGCTGCCTGTCCAGGAAGAGGGAACGCTCAACATTCTTTTAGAAAAAAGAGACGAGAGTTCCCCTTTAGAAGGATGTCAGAATAAGGACTTAACAAACGCAGCCAGACCAACAGCAATGGCGGGTTATGCTCAGGTCGGTGGCTAGGTGAACGTACATTACAGCACAAAATCAAAACACGGTAAGGCGAAAAGAAAAAGTAACTTGTCTCCACACAATCACCTGTTGTATTTGCCTTCTGAGATATACTGATATTCACTGGCTTTAAGCTTCTTGAATTTGTGAACAAATAATACACAGGTCAGGATAAATGTATTGACTTACTCCCATCTTTATAAAAATCGAATACACACACGAACACATCAACAATAATGGAACTGTATCCATTGAACTTTGATAAGACAACACAAAAGAACTAACAAATAGCTAAGATGGTGTGGAACTGAAAGCATTTCCAATAACATTTTAATTTTAAAAGGTCCGTATTTACACAGTATGTTAAATGCTTCTGCGTCTCATTTTAAATGCATGATGAATAAAGAACAAAGATAATGGTTGCAACAGATCTTCCAAGAATTCAGCTTACGGTGGTCTGATTTCGCTGCGAGAAGTGCACCGAAAATGGAAATACCGTGACTTTCTAATTCTGCTTCTCTCCTCCAAGGAAACTCAGCTTTGTCACGGGCCCGCTGCAAGGACAGGCCCTTTCCCAGCGCTGGGCACCCTCGGCGTGGAGCCATTCAAAGCCATGCTGTCAGGGAAAGCCTGCTTTGCGACGGGGTTTGTGAAAAGCACGCGTGTGCGCGCGCACAGCCCGGGCACCCACGTCACACTTGGGCAAGGCCAAAAGGAGACCATGAAGTGGCCGCATTGCCCAAGTAGGATTAGCTATCATCAATAACTAGAAAAAACACACTCAAATGCCTACTTTCACGGACAACATGCAGATTTTTGGTTTCAAAGCCACAAAACACACAGACTATTTCCAGAAAGTGGCAAAAGTGTGTTCAATTCATCTTGCTACACTGGAACGTCCTCAGTGAGAGACGGAGCCCTGCCTGCCATCCGCCCTCTGCCCAGGTGGGGAAGTGGTCTGGATGGCTCTTCATTACAGCGACAGCCACCAAACTTACCATTTCAGTGGAGCCCACTGTGGACGGAGCTGGCTCAACTACGCTTCTCTACATAAACACGTCTACACTACTGGTGACGAGTGGGCAGCGACAGCACCCACTTCTTGGGCACTTCACTGCTGCGTCTCGAGGCGGGGCTGGCACATGGCGCCATCTCCCGAGGGCTAGTCAAGCCTACAGTCCCGGGAGCTAGGTCCTGGGAGCAACCACCTGTTGGCCACCACCGTCATCTCCAGGCCCTCTCTCAGCACACAGTGCCGTCTAAGAATCAAGGCTACACAAGCTCTCATAGGGTCTGGATACTCTCGTCCAGCTCTGGCCATTTAATTTCAAAGAGTAACATAAAATACCAGCCGTGCAAAAAAGATGGCACAAACTCGCACGCCCTGGGTCCTGGTCCAGGCACCGGGCTGCCTGCACGGGCCTTCCGTCACGTCCTGGGCCCCGCTGCGCTAACCAAAGGCACCTGGTGCCAAAAAGCTCCGATTCCCCTTCATTCTATGACTGAATCTGACCTGACACCTTAGGTATTAAATACGCTAAAAGGTTTGAGTGTGCCCTCATGTCATTTGCTCCAGTGGCTCGGGTCCACATCAGAGTAACTCCGGGACAGTGAGACCCCCTCAGCGAACAGAAATGCAATAAGGCACTTTTTCAGTGTTTGCCCAGAATGAATTTTACTAAGGTCGCTTTATGGGGAGTAAGTATGTCGCCTAAAGGAGCCAGCCGCCTACCCAGAATTACTCAACCATGGCCATGGGTGGCACTCAATTACACTTTGGGCGTCGCCGTCCCTGTAAGACAGCCATCCTCACACCACATGCCACCAAGAGTGACACACCAGGGTCAGTGTCACTGCTCTCTTAGATCTAAAGACAGCACAGACACACTCAAGGCCTTCCAAAAAAAAAAAAGCTAAAGCAACTAGCTTCCCAAAGAATGTCACATGTCACAGAGCCAATGACACGACTATGCCACTTTGGGCTGCATTTAAAAATAGGGAGAAACCAAACAGGTTTGTTCGAGCTTGGGACTGCCTCCGCCTGGCAGGTCTGCTATGCAGCCCACCTAGCAGGGACCTCCCATGAGGGCTGCGTGGTGCTGGCCACCTGCATCCTCGCCTCATCTGGCAAGAGTTAAAAGGGTGGGTGGGCCCCTCTGGAGCTAGGAATGCGCAGTTGGCCTTTTGGGATCTTTACAAGCAGCAGAATCGGCCACACCACTGGCGCCACTCCCAAGCACCCTTGAGCCCTCCTTTCCTGGATATGCAACTGTCAATCACAACCACCCAAATGTCCATCCATGTTTTGTAAGAGCCTTTGCGAGCCTTTCTGAGAAGTCACGCAAGATATGCTTGGCTGGGAGAACTTGTCTAGCCTGCACTGAAGATAAATGCAACCATTATCAAATATTCTTTGCTGTGAACGATGCTCAGCGTCTGTGACGCGGATGCTGTCTCCTGAACCTAAGTCACTGTGCTCGATCAGACAGGAAGATCACGAACAACAATGTCTACATGCATTGGAAGCACTTTGAAAACAAAAGAAAACAAAAACTGCAGTTCTCTGAGGTGACCACAGAACCGGAAGCAACCTAACCCCGAGCCCCAGCCACCACGTCCCATCAGTTCAGCTCTCCCGGAGTCAGAGCTGGGCCGCCCAGCGCTCCGGACAAGTTACAAGACTGGACGGAGAGACCTCAGCTCGTGCGGTCCTGCGCCGGCGGCTTCCGCGGAGAAACTCCACAGCATGTGTGCAGTGCAAGGTCAGCCTCCCCTGTCAGAAATCACTCAACAATCAGGGCCACGTTTATGTGGGACAGATCTATCATGTGCCTGTGGAAATGGAAAGAAACACCAACATTAAGTCACCTCGGCAGTCGGCTTACCAAGGCAGAAGAAAGCCGGTGTAGAGCGGTGGGTCCCGACTGAGGACAATCTATTCCATAAAAGCACAGACCAACAGAGAACCCCAGGTCATAGACAGGGTAACTGCGCGTGACGGAGGGACCACGGCCCGCTCAGCGCACCTCTGCAGTGAGAGGGGGACACGCACGCATGGGGAGTGAAGGCCACATGGATGTAGAGCAGGTGGCAGAGGTCATCCTCGCCCACGCCCACACCCCCAGGGCCACGGGAGGCAGCAGCTACCTGTGGAACTTCTGCTGAAACGCTAATGCGTGGGCTGGTTCCTTAAACTTGGCTATGGCTTTCCGTTGCTGCGGAAGCATCTGCAAACTCTAGAGAAAGAAAACAGAAACATTTTAGTATCTCGCAGTACACCGACACATCAGATTTCACACAAAGTTCCGGCCTGGGCTGGCACTGGGATCACTAAACAGTCCAAGTCCACGACGCTGGCCGACACTTACACCCTCCAAGCCCGGCGTGAAGGCCTCCATCATCTGCCCATCAGCTGCCCATCTCCCCTCCAAACCTCCGCTGAGGCCGGGGGGCAAGCACCTTTGGAGTCACCTCGGCTCTCACGCCTTCCTGTCCCGTGCTTTTCCATGGAATCTAGATTTCGAAAATACTATGTTCCTCTTCTAAGAAAAAATGTTTCTAGATTTCAGTGGTGACTATTTCCCATGGGTGATTTCCCAATGTGAAGTGAAGGCATGAAGTTTCGTTTTTACCATTTACTACATTAAACGGTAAAAGTGTTTGATGTAAAATTTGCTACTTGTATCTAAGTGGGTTAAATCTCAATTTGACTGAGGAGCGAGCAGCCAAGGCAGCATAAACCGCAGCGACATTCTCAGGTCACAGGGGTGACTGGTTCTCACACAGTGACGAGAATATCGTCACAATTCCCTTCCTGGCTGTCCCTTTTATTTACATTTTTGCACCCTCTTTCAAAACACCAACCCTATTTTCTGGATATAAGATTGAATTGCGGAAATGATCAATATTCAACCTATCAAAGTGACAAATATTAGAGAGCTCTTTGGGGGAAGAGGAAAAGACACTTTGCACTAAAAGCTAAAGGCTTATGATCACTGGTTTCTGCTTTGAAAACATATTTCCAGAAATCAGTGGCACGTTTTCATATAAACACTTTATTTCACCCAGAACGGATCAAGCCTGAACATTCATTCTGAGCCCCTAAGTGCCCCCCAAATGGCTTATTGGCATGCAGATGGAAGGTTCACCCTGATCTACTGTTCACTTTTCAGAGACACGACATCTTCAGGCAATTTCTGAGAACAGCTAACTGTGATGCTATAAATCGCAAAATTCAAGTTCAAGCACTCCTTTCGTTGGCACTTCCTGCGTTCACACTCAACAACCCCATTCAGGGCCATGTGACTGAACTGCCATAAGACACGCCACTAACAGTGACACATGTCCACGCGGTTGGGAATCCTGGCCGCTTGCCCCGTTCGGGCATTTTCTTCCTCTTTCTAGGAAGAGCCTGTGTGCATGTCTGTGTGTGTGCATGTAAACTGAAAGGTTATGGGATACAGAAATGATTCTGCAGTCCTCACGGGTCAATTAAACGCACCCCCCCCCGCACCTTCAGGAATTACCCAAAGCCAAAAATGATATTAACTGTTTTAAACAACAAGTGAAACTTCAGAAGTAGCCGCGTTTAGGGGACGGGTGAGAACCACTGAAGACCATGGGCCGCCCTCCTGTCGCACGTGACGGCACCTCAGTCCTAGGGGGCAGCCCCTCCTCCCCACATGCCTCCTTCTCGGGGCTCAGCAGGACCCCGCGGGACCCTTTACTCCCTAACTCGCTTCTCTGCACGCTTCACTCTCACCTCTCGCTGCCCACGGGCACCGGAAGCAGCAAACACTTCCCGAAGGGAGAGTTAGCAGCATCTCAGGCAGCCCCGTCACATGCCGACCGTCACGAAATCAACTACGCCCCCCGCGCTGCACACAATGACACAACGGCATCCACCGCTGCAATGTGTCTGGGCGTCTTTGGCACCGACGCTGTGCTCCCCTGAACCCCAAGCTCGGGCTTGCCTGGTCCACGTCATGACACCTCCCTAAAGCACCGTTCGCTCTGCTCTGCTCCAATGTAGGGACGTGGTGACGGCCTCCTGTCCACGTCACCACCGGCGGTCCCACCCTCCCCATTCTGCACAACTGACCCTTCGGGACATGCTTGAGCTTGTCAAAGGGCTGCTGTGTCCACACACGTCTCCTTACACCCCTGCTTCATTTCTGGGCTCACTTACAGGTGCGTCAGAACTTGGGTGACAGCCTCAGTCGCTTCTTGTCCCTGAGAACCTCAGGTCCTGTCACACCCCACGTCTTCAAATCTAGGCTCGGGCTGCCTGTGACTGTCCTGTTTCCTTTCCCAGTGTCCTAACTTCAAAACAACGGACTGTCACTGAGATGCCAGCTTCTTCAATGTCACCACCCAGACCTGCCCGGTCAGTTAGAACCAGGCACAAAGGACAAGGTGCTCTCGCCCCCACCCCCCGCCTCACCTTCAGAGAAGGTCAAGTTCACCAACAGGACCCCGCCTTATGAGGCCGCTCAAAGGGGCTCCGCCTCACTGGGGGGCCCTGAGTCGCTTTCCGAGCCCCTGGTCCCCACTGGGACTGCACTGTCAGCCACAGGCTGGCAAACCTGGTGGGTCCTTAGGACCCTCCCGCCAGCCTCGAGGACGGACCTCCGGGACAGGCAGGGGACGTGGGACGAGGCCACAGCCAGCAGGCGGTGCGCTTGCTGCGGTTTGTCCTCACTGCTCAGCACGCTTCCCCTCAGTGACACGTGGGCCTCCTGTTTCTTTCACTGCCCTCTCTTCCAGGTTATGCCAGGGAACGACGACAGTCATGGGGCACCGTTTAAGGCATTACGTGGGTTATGAGCCCGATGGAAAAGCCCAGACTCACGAAGGTCAAGTGCTGTGTCTGGAGGTCACACGCCAGGAAATGGCAAAACCAGGACCTGAACGGAAGCCTCACTCCCCCTCCCTTTGCTGCGAACGAGGCACGGCCACACTGACAAAGCCTCTGGGTGCCACAGCTCGGGAAGCAGAGTGCAAACACAGTTAATGCAATCAGTTCTCTACCATTAAAGGGCCCAAAGGAACAGGGTCCCTTCCGGTCCTGACGCCGCCACCTGCCACCTGCTATTACACGGCGTGGACACGAGGTGGCACCACAGCCCGACCTCTGGGGCTTGGCCACCTTTTCCTTCCTCAGGCCAGGAAAGCCGGAGGCCTGGGTCTCTGGGCACCATCCCTTTGAAGCATATTTATATTTAAACCATAATTATATCTTCTTATAAAATATTTTTTATACTTGTCAATATAATTCTAACGCTGGTGGAAGCTTGGTATATTGGTGTGGTTTTATAAAATTAAGAACCTTAGCGTTTTGTGAATGCACTGATTAAATAAATACCTACACTTCCACTCAAAACCACCCCCTGGGACTAGGACAGGCAAGAAAGACCGGCTGCTTTGTCCCCAGGGGGCCGGTCAGGCCCGAGCAGAAGCACTAAGTCCATCATTCCACAGGGGTCTGTGGTGGCACGTGGGGCCTCACCTCCTCCTCCTTTCTAAGGGGGACTGATATAACCCAGAAAACTTCATCTTGTTTTCCTCTCTCTTTCTAATTAAAACAAGCCAACATTGTTTTGCTCAGCTTTAAGTGCCCTCAATCAATCTCTAATCCCTCTTTTTCATAACAGAAAAAAAACAAACAAAAGCAAATGAGAGGGAAAACGTCATCCAAGAGATCTCTGACTCCAAAGAGCAAAACGCCATTTTTAAGGCTAAGACTGAGGCGGGCTGGTTTGCATCGGCTCTGAGCCAATTCTTGCAACACAGCTTCTGCACGTCAGCCGGGGCTGTGAGACGCAGAGAGTGCCGCCAGTCAGACACGGGTCCTGGAAACTCCAACATCCGCTCAGGCGTTCCGCGGAACTACCAGGAGCACACATGAGGAAGCGAGGCCCGACATCAAGGTCACAGAGGACAAGCGGCAATGCCACCCTAACAGGGACACAGCAGGACGTGGGGCACAACACCAGCCCTCACGACAGCACTGTCCTCAGAACTCAGACGAGGCTCTGGCCTTAAATCTAGACCCGCTTCTAAACTGTGACTTGCCCTCCAATTCTCAGCCACCATCTGTTTGGGTCTCAGGTCAGGACAACCACATCTTAATGATCTTAATGCATCTAAAAGTCTCTAGTGTCAGCTCTGTTCCTGCAAATCAATCCATGTTATGAACTGGAAACAACTCCCTGAACATAAGCTTTCTGCCTCTGATAACTGAGAAACTGGACCTGCCCACAGCACGGCAAACTGACTCCACGAAAAACAGATACCAAAGTCCTTGGTTAACCTCTCATTACTACGTCCACGTCAAACTAAGCCTGCCCCCTCTCTAGGAATCCGACCGGGAGAGTCCAGTAGACGGGGGGGAATGTACAGTTCTTAGAAGGGCGCTTGTCACTCCTCCCTTTTAGGAACTCGCAACAGTAGATGGAGATTTAAAACATATTAATAATGAATTACTTGTATCAAGTCTAGTCTCAAATGCTTCCCCATTCACTCATGAAGCAAGAGCTAACACATACTCTTAAAAGAAAGCGCTTGTGCTACCCAGAAGCCTACGGTTCCCACCAGTCATGAAGACCAAGAGGTCTGCACTCACTCGGACCCCGACGTGGGGCGAGTGTGCTGATGCGGCTGTGACTGGCTGAGGCCTGGCAGGAAGGCCAGAGACGGCACTAGCGTCACGCTCGCTGCCGCGTCCTCGCCAGTTGACCTGCAGGGCTCTAGAAGCTGCACAGACCAGGCATCGCATCGGAAAATGGTGTTTCCAGCAGGGCTGGAGGCCCCGTGGTAGCCAGCTCAGCTCAGGTCTTTAGCTCTTAGAATCAGCCAGTTTTAAAATTTAGAGACCCAAATACAGTTCACACCATTTCATATTTGTAAAATCTAATGCAAGTTCCACAGCTGTTAACATGGGAGGCTGCTTCTAGAAATTGAGGTCAAGAAGGCTTTAAAACCTGTTAAGTTATTACAAACAAAACAAGTGTGTGACAGAAGAAAAACTGTCTGATGATGGGAGCATATGTGAACTTCAGGATAACTGAGGATTTCAATGGATCATTTGTTCGGTTGGAATTATTTCATCAAGTTTCTGAGTCTGAAGATTTCCCAGTAATCTAACTCTGGGGCCCAAGTGCTGACAGCAGGTGCCCACGGCAGGTAAGACACCTGCCTTCTTCCCCGATGTATCACTGAAACAGGAAGGAACCACAGGAGTGAGGTCACACCAGGAAACACCGAGCCGTGGGCTGGGAAGCGGGAGCCAGGCGCCTACCTGAATGGGCCCCACGGACATGAGCAGGTTCTTGAGCTGGGTATCCGTGGTGGACGACGACAGCCCCTCCACGGACACCATGCAGGGCTGCGGCTTGCACTCCACCACCCGCAGGTTCTGCTTGTTGGGCATCGGGCGGCCGCGGCCCATTGGCCCTGCCACTCCCCGGCCTCGACTGTGCGCGATGACCTGTCAACGACAAGAGTGACGATTCGATTTACAAGCTTTGGGTTTTGTTTTTTGTTTTTGTTTTTTTTACAACTAGTAAGCTACAAAAGTGAGCAGGTAACTCAGACTCCATTAACATACACCATGAGCTACAGGACTTCTACAGCTTTCATCTGCTATCAGAAAGGAAGGAGTGGAGTCTGGGTCGATCCTGGTCCCCACGCAGGACGAGGCAGGCCCTGTGTCCCCGTCTGTGGAGGAAGCAGCAGGGCCCACCGGGTCCACAAACGTCCTGCGAGGAGCAGAGGTGAGGACTCAGGCAGGTCCTCAGGGCCCTGAGCCCAATTGCTCCGCTCTCCAGGCCAGTGCAGCGGGGACAGAACTGTGTGTGGTGCTACCCACAGCCACCATTGTCACCAGAGGCACAAGAGCACAGGCCCAGCTCGTCTGGGAGGAACGTGTATGGTCTGCCCTGAGGACCCAAAAGGCAGATGCTGCAATAGGTTATTCCTCCGCAGAGCTGCCAACAGGAAAACCAGAGCCCCAAACCAAACACTGACTGCGTGCCCCTGCCCGACCGGAACGACATCAGCGGTTTAAGGCGGGGCTGCCCAGGGTTCAAAACCACTGCTCTGAGCTCTTTCACAGCAGAGGACACAGCTGACCTTCCTGGTCTTTTCTAGCTAGGAACTGAGACAAAGCACCAGTGCCAAGAGCATTCTCTACACAGAGCTCGTCCAGCGAAGGACAGGAGTGAAACTCGGCCGGCGGGGTAGGACGGAGCAGCACCCTTTCCCAGGTGTCCTACCCGGATTGGGCCCTAGAGTTTGGATCGAAAGGGACAAAAATGATTCCCATTCCGCCACAGAAAAGGGCAGAGAGGAAGGTAGGTGGGCTCAGAAGGGAGCCTGAGAACACAAGCGAGCATCGCAAAAAGGAAAACGGACAAATAAAACGGTAACACTTCTCAACACTCCACAGAAGGTTACGAACTATTCCTGTGCAGTGGGCTATTTCAGGTGCCACGGGAAAACAGATGTCCACAGTTGCGCAGTGCTGGCTGGAGCCCAGCAGTAAAGCAGGATTTCTCTGTTCTGGCTGTGAGTTACATGGTAACAGGAAGACCCTTTCGCAGGTGCTCTTGCGTCGAGCCCTCATCAGAGGAGCCCTGGCCGTCCTGTCACAGGAGAGCACACTGACGTCAACGTGAGGAAACTCGGGCGTTTTATTAATGCACCGTGCTGTACGGGAGTGGGGGGGGGCATTTTTCTAAGGTCTTTCTCATCATATATGGCACCTGGCTGAAGAAAACCTAGACTGGAACAATCTATAGAGATTACCAGGAGACACGACTGGCTGTACACCTGTCTCCTGCTGTAAAAATGAATAATCACCAAGTGTTGATGTAAATCCTTCAAAGACCCAGAATGGTCTTCGTGTTAACACTGCTGCTGAGTGTCGATAGCAAAACAAGGAGGTAGGATAGACTAGCCGACTCCGGAGCTTTCTAGAAGAAACTCAAAGCAGGTGCTGCTGCCCCTCTGTCTCCCTTGCTAATTTCATCAGACAAGGGGTGTCTCTGGCTTCTGCACGAAGAGAGGACTTGACTGTCAGGCTTTGGGGAAGCTACGAAGATGCTCCTCGTGTGAGGCTGGGAGGCGGGGCGCTCCGCCAGCAGGACAAGCGGGACGGGTGTCTACTCCTCCCCGAGGGAAGGCCCTCAATTTAGGCCACGAGAGGGCAACGTCCTCCCCCACAAGGACACTGGATGCCCGGGCCTCTGGCCTAAGACCGAGCTCGGAGAACGGAGCTCTTCCACCCGCAGGGTGAGGAGAGGAGGGCCCAGGGTCAGAGCCACTTTCCTGGACAGGGCACGTCACCACCAAAGGTCTGGGTTCCCACCTGTCAGCTGGGGTCCCGGGGAGGAGATGGAGGAGCCGACACCTGGTTCCCCCGCCGCGGAGGCTGGGCGGCTCAGGGCTCAGGGCTGCACCATGAAAAGCCATGAGAGGAGGAGGTGTGCACAACAGATGAACGAGGGTTCCTTCAGTCCCGTGTCTGGGCAGTCCTTCAGTGCGCCATGCACCCCTATCAGGGCCCAGTCTGGCCTCACTGCTGATGTGTGGGAACAGGCATACCTTCTTGGCTGGATGGAGTCCTGGGATGTTCTTAATGCCTGGAGGGCCGGCTGAGTGCATGTGGACCCCCATCGGCAGGTGCTGGGGCTGCTGAAGGGACCCCTTGGTCAGCGTCACCTTGCGGACAGGCTGCTGCCTCACTTCCGGGGGTTGGGGGAGCCGCTGGGGCTGGCCCTCCGGGTGAAAAAAGCCATCGCTCTCTCCTCCCTGAGGAAAGAACAGGCAGCACTCTGGTCAGGACCCGCGCAGCCAGGCGTCGCTCCCCGGCACTGGCTAGTTTCAAGGAGATGCAAACGATCAAACACAGGAAAACCAGCCCTGTCATTTTATCTGAGCCACTAGGAAATTTCTCACCTGGCAGCGCTTGGGTTTAAATAACATTTTTGAAATTAAAAACACTAAGACCTTTGAGTATTGCAACCACTCAAGAGGTCTGTAACTGAAGTAAATGCTGTTTGGGTTCAGTGAAATAGTGCTTAACTTTACAAATACTTCATACTTAACATGCGTTTTCCATTTGCATGAGCGTTCTTGTTAGAATCTGCGTGCGCATAAGCAGCGGTTTTCAACTTGCCACTCCTAGTCAAAGCTGACTAAGCGAGCCCCCGTCCCGACTCATCCCACGCTGCCTCGCACATCCCAGTGTCCCAGCCTGCCTCCCCTGGGAACACATCTGAACCCACATCTGGGCACAGCACTCATGAGCTGAGGGGCCCCTTGTCACCCTTCCTCCCGCTGAGTCTAAAGTGCCATCCATCACCAACCACAGAGTCAGCGATTTCTGAGGAACTTGTGTGTTAGCTAGTAAGAGCTTGACAAGTATCAGAAATCTAGCCTTTTGTGTTTTACTGTTCCCTCATTTCCTGACCTTAAAAACTGTTACTCCATTAGGAAGCAAGCACACATCCAAGCTGCACTACTGATGTTCATGGCATCAGGCAGCATAAAAATACCTCTGGGTGTGCCCGTCAGCCACCTACAGGGCTAAAGAGCGTCTTTCCGACAGGTGGCTGGCGGCCAGGAAAGGAAGAGCGGACAGCGAGAGCGCCAGACCTTGCCCTGCTACAGCTTGCGGCCTGAACAGAAATGGATGCTCGACTGCGAACAGGAGCGCCAGGCTTTTATCAGCACCATGTCTGTTCCCGACACAAACAGGAACACGTGGGTCGGGGGGCAGCAGGCTGCCCCACACAGGTGCTCCGCGCTGCAGGGTTTCCAAGAGGACTGGGAGCACTAGCTCAGGCGCAGCACTTCTATCTTCCGTCTTTCCCAGCCTCTCCTTGGGAGACAGTTTAGTGGAACAAAGGGAAGAAACGGGCTGGAGAAAGATGGGTGTAGATTAGATTTCTGCAAAAACTGCCCAAACTAATGGGACCCAAGGAAAAAAAATGAGATTCAAAACTCACACCAGACAGGACTTCTGGCATGGAGAGAGCACGTAACTGGACAAAACTGTCCAAAACAGTCGTTTCAGGGTTCTGGAAACTGACAAAGGTGAAGCAAGCAACGGAGCAGCACCCATTCCTGAGTGGACGAGAGCTCTCTCTCAGCGTGCGTGGGTAGGAGTGCCCCGAGGGCAGGCCTGAAATGCCCTGCAGCAGCTGACCGGGTGGAGGGAAGGGGGACGTGGGCATGCCACGCCAGCGTCTGCTGGCCTCTGGGCTTGGTCTCGTTTGGAACAGTAGTCCACCAGCCAGAAATGCGAGAAACTTAATGAGGTGCTTCTGGCAATGGGGGAGCTATTGAAGGTCTAGGTACGTCCGCCCCACGTGGCTGACGGATCCTCGGGGCCGAGGTGGGCGCCCGATGCCAGCTCCAACCCACACTGATCACCAGCCGAGGGCTCCAGGTGCCTGCACACTACCTCTTCCTGAATGAACGACTGACCACTGAGCTATGCAGCAACCAGGTCGACCCCTAGGAAACCAGGCTGAGAAGAATAAAAACCTGAACAAAAATATTTTGAACTGAATGCAAATGAAAACACAACATATAAAAATCTAGAGGATGCAAAAAAGCAGTGTTATCAGAAAGGAAAAGAGATCTATAATCAATAACTTGAGCTTTTATCTCAAGAAGCTAGGGGGGAAAAAAAAAGACCAAGCCCCAAATAGAAGGAAATCTAAGATCAGAGTTCCACGCTCCCTACAGCACAAGCTACTAAGTCGTCGGAAAAGTCATGATGTATTTTTTTCTACGTTTTTTTGTTGCAAAAATGCAAAAAACGCGTCATGACTTTTCTGACGACCCAATGCCTTGTAAATATCTACAGAAACCAGTGGTTTAGACCCGTCTGCTTTGTTCACCAAGCCAACAGTTCTCGTGCACACAGACGGCACTGAAATTTTGCTGACTAAATCAATAAACAGCAGATCATACTTTAAAGAACCAAGTAGGTCTGAACGTGCTATAAAAAGATTAGAGTAGCAAGATCCTAGGTTATAGCCACTGTCAATTACTAATAAACACATTGTTACTGAATGTCACGGTGACACTAACAAGGCCACCTCCAGACTGACGGTACCGTTACAAGCGTGCAGCAGCAGACATGGCGCCGTGTGCAGAGTACCCAGCCAGGACACGTGGCCTGGGGAGAACGGTCTCCACACACACAACGGACAGGAGGTTGACTATTTTGGAACTGCTTTCATTACAATCCAAAGCGAAAATCAAGGTGGTCTGCACAGCAAGCTGGAATTTTAAACGAAGAGCTTGTACCAAAGCAGGATATTACTATTAGCCTATTTTAAGATATACAAAATTGTGTGCAGATATTAGGGTGATAAATATGTAACACTGTGCTAACCTGATGATTCGTCAACTGGGATCCATGAACATAAACATTTACTCAATAAACACCCCAAATAAAAATTCTCTTGGTTGTTATTTTGGATGAGAGACTGTGATCAATTTATGTCTGGTCATATTCATGTCGGATAAGAATCCTGAAAAACTAAGTTCTAAACTTTTATTTCGAGAAAAGTTTCCTTTTTTACGTAGGCTTGGCCCCCATTTAAAGTTCAGAAATCTAAGCGTCACAAAAAGTGCCTCCACGTAGGGCTCTCAGGAGACAGCGCCTGCAAGGACGTGGGGAGCAGCTACGCCCGCAGCCCTGGGCCTCCTCTCCGACCCCGTCTCCCTCCAGCACATGGGCTCATGGCCCGGTCTTTCTCCCGCTTCTCCCTGCGTGGTGGGGGCCTACCAGCTCCGGCCCACCAGCTCCGGCCCGGCCTGTCCACTCCAGGAGCCACCCTGCCCCAGCACTTCCCAGTCCTGAGGCCCCCGGGCCACAGAACTGCTTTCTCTGTCTTCACAGCAGTAAATCGCCAAGGCGGTTAAGTAGTGGTCCCTGCTCACCACCACGGCGACGTAGGGACAGAGAACAGACTTGGGCACAGAGCGGCCAGAAGGCAAACACCTATTGAGTCAAACACCTATTGAGTCGGTGACAAAGAAAGGGGGTGTTTCAGGCAGGGATTATCAGGACTGCCCACTTTAGGGAGAGCTCTCGGGGCCACTGCTTCCTGCAAAGTGCGAGCAAGCCCTGGGTAAGCCCTGGGGCCGCTTACATTCCAGAACCCATGTGTCCCTCCCGGGCTGCACACGCTGGTAAACTCAGTAACATGTCTCCAGGGCGCTCCTAGGGCCTTCCTGCCAATGTTAAAGCCATTCAACATCTTCCACTCACGCGAGGGTGTGGAACGTCTGCAGCAGGACGAGAAGTGTCCTGGGGTCTGCACAGACACTGTCCCCTCAACCCTCCCTCCCGGTAAACATGGTCACCCTCAGGTCCGCACCACCTCCTAAAGGGGGCTAACACTCACAGAGGTGCTTCAGAGAGGAGGGTGGGACACAAGGGGCCACCACCGTCCAGTTCCCTTAAGGGAAAGGACCCTACTGCTGCGTTTCTGCATCTCTCTGAAACCACGCTGAGCACAAGCCCTAGATATAAGTAACAAGTTATTTCATTTTGAGAAAACCAGTGTGAGGTTTTTCTCCAATTGAGAGAGTAATTGCTTCTCTTTTTCATTTTTTTAAGATTTTTTAAATTGGGGAATTAGGGGATGGGAACAGCGCTGGGGAATTGGCAAAAGGGGAACAAACAAGTTGCTGTCGTTTTGTTCTTCAGTCTAGTTGTGGAAGACATTGCTTCACTGGCCCAAGTTGGCACCATCATTGCGCTCTTCCCGGGCGAGGCAGATTAGTCGCCGGCTTCTGGATGGCCGCTCACTGCGGCTGCTAGCCGCTCACGCTGGCTGCTGGCTACACACGGTAGCCCATGGCAACCCACTGCCACAGGGGCTGCAGCCTACGCCATCTCCGAGGACTCACTGCAGCCCAGCTACAGGTCGAGCAGTTGTTCAGCATCTTAGCTGTGGAGGGCAGTGTCACTGGCCCTCATATGTGGGATCCAAACCGGGGCTCTCTGGCGTCCCAAGCCAGCTCTTAACCAACATGCCACTCAGCCGGCCCTAATTGCTTCTCTTTTAAATTAGCACAATGAAAAGTGAATTCTTGGGAAAATTTTAAATTCCAGAGCTATCCCAGGTAGCACTAGGAAAGTCAAACTATCCACAACTAGGCTGTGGCTAGGACTGTATGTTCACACCTACACACACCCCCCCCCCCCAGGTGGCTGGCGGCCAGGAAAGGAAGAGCGGACAGCGAGAGCGCCAGACCTTGCCCTGCTACAGCTTGCGGCCTGAACAGAAATGGATGCTCGA